AACCATTTAATATTATAGATCACACAGATCTATACAGAGGCACCACTACGCTACCAGTGCCCAATGAAAACATCAACACAAACTCTACCTTTAACCAGAATAATTTGGCAGATTTCAACTCTGAGAACAGCTTTCATCCAAAAGAAATCACACACCACAGAGACATCAGAGCCACTGGTGAATTTCCAGTGGGTTTGCAGAGCTGGCTCTTCCAGGGCTTCATGCTCAGATCATCCACAGTCAATCTGCATCACTCATGTCTTAGCATTGATATCATATGCAGTCGCTCTGCATGTTTAGTCTAGTCGTCAACACACCACAACGTCAATCTAGTAGTCAACAAACCTACAACTCACCTCACTTCCTGTTGCTGGTCCAGGGATCACATCTTTTTTCATATGTGAATCATATTTTTGTGCATTTTCATGTATTTTTTTTTTAAATACTTAAATAAGAATTATTTTTTAATGAAATACTCATGTTATTCAGGTCAAACAGTTATGTGTCTTTCATAAGGTAAAGAGCTGTGGATATAATTCACAAAGAGGTTTTGAATAATTATGTTTTGGAGTTGAGGCCTTGGCATTGGACTCCTTTGAGCTGGAAACTGAATGTTTTAACATGCCAAAGAACAGAAATGTAGGGACAAGCTGGTTTCAGTGGTTACTCTTCAAGTTTTGAGGACTTTTACAGGAAGCTGCTGGAATGGAAAAGTAAGAATTTTGAATCCTGTGTTGAAATTATTTGAAAGTGCATAAGAGAAACAAAAACTTTGCTCATGGAAAGTCAAGTCAAAATGATACTTGGAAATGGAAAAATGGAAACAACTGGAAGAGGATCTGCAAAATCTGACGAGATCCTTGATATAAAACTTCTGTGCTACAAGGTGATACCATCACAGACCCAGGAACTTAAAGGAACACAGATTTACATCAGTGAGGATGAATCTGACCATATTAAGACGAAAAGGAAGGCGTAGACACTGAGAAAGATTGTGCAGTGCTAAGATACGACACACTTATTATCAAACTGAGGGAAACATCTGAACTTATGACCAGAGAAGCTCTAATATCTAATAACAACACTGGGTTGTGAAAAGCTAATTTGAACGTCTGTAGCATCAGGAACAAGATACACGACTTGAATAATCTGGTATTTGTTAGTTCCATTCATATATTAGTGATATCTGAGACTCATCTAGATGAGATCTAGACTCACCTGTTCAGAAGTCAGAGTTACTGCTTAATGGTTATTAGAAGGGACAGAGATAAATACTATAGGCCTTGTGATGCTGATGCTGACTATCTCACTCAACCATGTGGTATGTGATAATATATTTGCTTAGATATATGCATATAGAGTGGATGTCTAACTGTCCAAGGAGGAAAATATGAATGCTTGTAAGTCATCACAGTTGGTTTCCTTGCTAACAGAAGTTTTCATTAATGAAAGCAGGTCATACTTCCACCACATGTAATGATTACATAGTAATGCACAGATGTAGCACAGTCCATGTGCACTTGTTCAATGTTTTTAACTTCCACATTTTAGCATCCCCTGGAAACACTAACGTTGTGTTGTGAGTATATGTGTTGTCACATTGATGGAGATGTTTTCTAGAGTTACTTGTGTTTTTTCTGTTTGCATGTGTTTTCTAGTCGCAGTGCTTTGAGCCACCATATCTCCCTGCTTTACTGAATGTTATTAATGGTAATTGTTAATAAACATGCACCAGTGAAAAAGTTTACAGTGATGAATGGATGAAGCTAAACTGATGAGGGACAAGTTAAAGTACAGTGAACTGAGAAACCAAGTGACTAAACTGAACAAAATTAATTAATTTAATTTATATATATATATATATATATGGAATACCTGATGAAATGACAGAAATCAGACACAAAGACAGAAAGGCATAAACTGGTTAGTGCAAGAACACCTCAACCTGGATAGTCTATAAAAACACCAGTTCAGTAAAAACACATATTGAAATTGCCCAGTTTATCATTGAAACTGCTCTGCAGATGTCGTTGTCACAACATGGTCAAATGAATTGTGTTCACCTCCAGAATTGAATTAACTTGTACAAACATGGTGGATGTATCAACTTTGAAGACACAGTCGAACTATAGATGGGATCTGGATGCTGGCTCATTTCTCCTGCTGCTGTTGAAAGAGCTCATTCCATGCTCTGACAAGCTGACGGAGACTTTAAAATTTTCAGAAACTGACATGGAGGCAAAATGTAAGCCTTCTAGTGATAAATCCCTTTTCAACAGCTGTAAGCCCAGGACACACAGTCTGTGTTATGTGTGACGTGTCCCAGCATTATAAGTCCTTGCGTTACATGTCCCTGCGTTCAAGTCCCAGCGTTACATATATCGACAAATAAAAATATTGCTCATTTGCAATAATTATGAAATTCAAATGTCAGTAGTCCTCTTTTGTTGTTATAAATATAACGTATTCTCACATACATCCATGAAGACAAGTGGATTAACTTAATAGTCATAGATAGTTTTACATAGTTAAACAGTGGATAATTCCTGGATGGGGGCGGCTCGTATCTTTTCATGCAGGGCAGTGATAATTCCTGGGTTGACTGCAGGTTTTGCTTGTTGATAGAGGGCAGTGGAAAATCCCAGGACAACTGCAGGATTTAAAATAATCCAGTGTAAAAAGCACAGGTGCAATAGACTGACTGACTGAAATATGCTTGTGAAGGAAAATTTGGATTCGATGATTTGATGGATCTAACTGGTGAACCACAGCACCAACAATAGTTCTAAACAAGACTAGGTATAAAACTGGTACATGACTGGCTCTGTATGGATGCCAACAAGGGGCTTTGGGCTACACCTATTGTTACGGGCTAGAACTAGAAGGCTTACATTTTGCCTCCATGTCAGTTTCTGAAAATTTTAAAGTCTCCGTCAGCTTGTCAGAGCATGACATGAGCTCTTTCAACAGCAGCAGGAGAAGTGAGCGTTTTGTTAGAGCCAGCATCCAGATCCCAACTACAGGTCCACTATGTGTTCAAAGTTGATACATCCACCATGTATCTACAAGTTAATTCAATTCAAGCTGCTCTGGTTTCCCAGCTGCTTGGGAACTGCAGGGAAGAGGAGGAGCACTTCCAATACACTGAGCCTTGCCTCCATTACAGCAAACAAACTTTCATTACATGTATTATTATTACTAAAGGAGGCAGAGGAATAACTAAACATAACACACACACCAGGGAGAGAGGGAGGGAGAGAAGTCATCAGTAACTGCTCAAGAAACTAGCAGATCTGAATAGCATGTGAACAACAGAAACACCGGCATCTGGAGATTAGACAATACTCTTACTACAGCACAACAATAAAAGCCCTGTTAAGAAATAAAGGGTTTCTGTTCACTGAAACAACAGAGGGCTTTTAATCTGAAATGGCAACAGAAAGTGTTGAGTTTATATTAACACATAGGGCCTGATTTACTAAAGCTTTGCGTGCGTAAAAACGTGCGCAAACGCGACAGCACGCGCAAACACATGTTGATGCTGATCTAACAACCGGGCACACCGAGGATTGCGTCTGTCAGTCGGGCAAAATAACACACGCTATCCATTTTGCGCTTCTGCCTTCATGAATATGCAATATGGCGTGCCTGCCAGAACGTGCAAAATATTGGGAGGAGTAGATGCAAATAGAATCATTTTGCGCACGCAATGTGATTTACCAAACCTGAAACTAATTGCGCTGATTATTTTTGCGTCTATATTTAGCACGTTTGAAAGTCAAGTCTTAGGCTACCTGGCACAGCCGTGCGCACAGATGGCTGTGGTCATTGTTGCAAGGAGGCGGCGTAGGCACGACAGGCAATGGAGAGAACGCATCTTTTCTGTTCGTGTCACTCTTTTTGGAATGGCAGAAGAAAAAATAATCGAAACATATAGGTTTCCGGCAATGCCATTTTCGAGCTTCTCCATGAAGTAGGAGCTGATTTGGATCCAGTCACAAGGAGGAGTCATGCAGTGCCTGCTATGAAACTCAGAAATGTGCTTGTTTGCCTCTTGTACCAGCACCTCCAATTCTGTGGCTTCAAATTTGCTTTTGCGCTTCCGTTGGGTCTGCTCGTTTGCATTCGCCATGGTGAACACCCTTAACTCGCGCAAAATCCTCATTTAAATAGGGCAGGCTCAATCACTTTTGCACCTGTAGTCAATTGCGCTGTTAATCTGAGTAAATCACCCGCAAGCCCCAAACAGGCAGTGCGCGCAATCTATCCATGTGCGCACGCAATTTAGCACTCTTTATTTGGGATCTTAGTAAATCAGGCCCATAGTGCAGTAACTTAGGATCACTCAGTCAGTCAGTCACAGGTATTCTTGATTATAGGGCTGTCCCTGCTGTTTGCAGACCAGCCAACAGTGTTAGATGCTCTTGGTTTGCCTGATATTTGTTTGTTTAACTAATATCACTGTTGTTATAACAGTGACAGTAGTTACATGAGCTACAAATCTAGAAGCTAACTCAAGTGTCCAAAAACTAAATAGACTAATCAAAGTGCACTACATTAACTCAACAGTAATGTTTCACAGCCAAAGAAGGTTGGATACAAATATGTGTGTGATCATACCCAACAACACAAAAGAATAAATGGTCATTTGATGGGATTCCAGCTGTGACTCAGTCCAGCATTAATTCCACATATCCATCACGTCCTCTGAGCAACTTCCTCTGATAAACTCATGTTGAATCCTCATCAGGATGTTCAAGTGGCGTCATGTAAACACTACTGTGCCGTAATAAGTTTATTGATCTCTTACACTCATTACAGATACAGTGGGCTGTAGTCATGAAACAGGACATGTGACTTTAGGGACACTACCACCACTGAGTCGATCCAGCAGATCGACTGATTGCCAGCTGCACCGGAGGCACATCTGCATTAACATTATCACAGGTTTTCCTCCAGATGAAATATCAAGTATTGATGTGGATTATTTTCTCTTCTAGGACCACTGCTTCTACCATGGCCATGTGAGAGGACATCCAGAGTCCTGGGTGGCTCTCAGCACCTGCTCAGGAGTCAGGTACAGTCAACACTGCTCTGATATGACTCAGACAAATTACAGGAGGATTGAGTTTCCTGATGTTGTTTAGATTCACAGTTTTTTTTATCCTCATTGTGGGCAGATTCTTCCTGATGTGGATGTATGATGAATTTGATTTCACACATTTGATTAATGCATCACCTTCCATGGCAACCACAGCAAAGTTATTAAGAAATACACACTTTATATTTTCCCTTGTACCAGAACTCACACCTTGTCATAACATGTGATAACTTATACATGACTAAATGATAAACTAGTCCTTATGTTATGAAATTAGTTGTTGCCAAATATTCAGGTAGTACCAGTACCAAGTATCAGGCAACAGGTCATGTGTTATAAAAAGCAGCTTGTATCTGAGCTGTTTAGATTTAATGTCTGACATATCTCACACTTCAAAAGAAAATTTTTGTTACATGAAGATGGTGGAAAATGGGAAGATTTTAGTCAGCACAATCTTCCTCAGACTATAACACGATGCCAACCACAATTATTGATTAAGCCTGGGGATAGCCGATTGACCAAAAGATCATATGACAATCTTTTTAGGTGGAATCACAATCCATGCTCCATGATCTGTCTCCCCACAGATTTAGTTGACCTCATGTGATCACATGACTAGTGGTGCATATTGCTGCCTGGATACAAAGCCTGTCACTTCAACTCAAGGCTAAAGGCCCAACTCACAAATGTCTGAATACTGTTTCCGTTCTGATTTTATTCTGAAAGTCCTGACTGGAAGTTGTGATTCATATCTTTCTGACACGCTTTTCTCAGATGTTTGTCCGAGGCTGCAGAGCAGAACTAGGACTGCTGTCACCAGCTGTGGTTAGCTGTTAAACCATTAACGATGGGCCGGTTAGCAGCTTTTAATGACGTGATCCGTACGATTCATCTGAAAAGTAAATCATATGTCAAAGTCAGACTGTTCACAATATGAAATCATCAGATCACCCAACCCTAATTAAGCCTGGGACAAAGGTGATTTTTTTCATTTATTTCTATTTCGTGGTGTTTTTATTCTTTCTAAGTCTGCAAGTTACTTACGTACTGATTTAAATATTGTTTCCACCAACTGTCAGATTATTTAAGTACTGAACAGCAGATTCACATTCCTGTACCAGAACAAACCCTGTTTAAATAGAAGTGCATTGTCTCCATTTCAGTTGATAATATACTTTCATGGTGCATATACCTGTCGGGTCTGAGCTCTACCTCATGAGCTGGACACCAAATATGTTGAATTTCGGTTGTCTATGAATTTATTATCTATCATTAATTAAGAAAATATTAATATTAGAAATATTAATGTTAAATAATAACTTTAAAATTAATTAAAGTTCACGGGGCACCAGCCTAAACAAATAGGCAAAATAGCCAATATAGTTTTAGTCTCAAATTATTACCATTAATCTGGAACTCTGATTAACAATTAGCTTACTAACTATAACCAAACTACCAAATCAACAGTAAGTTAAGGTTGAAGGATTGGAATTCTACAAAGTAGAGGTTGGCAACATTCACGCTTGTGCAACATTAAACACACCAGTAGTTATACTTAAAGGCATTTATTTACAATGAAGCAGAGTAAAACACAATGTCTGATCTAGTATATACAGGTGTGTGTATGTGTGTGTGTTTGTGTTTGTGTTTGTGTTTGTGTTTGTGGGTACACAACAAAGGCAAGATGGCCGATTCACAGTGGTCACTGTGACCACATGACCTGAACAAAGAAGACTACACAAGATGGCGGTAAACAAAGAAACTACTCAAAATGGCCGCTGGACCACCTGGGGTGTGTGAGAGGGAAGGTGTGAGTTTCTTTGTTAGCCTAGTTCATGTAATCTAAAGGTACCAGGTTAGAGGGGGGTGGTTAGCTTCATGCAGGTTCTAGAACTGAGACGTACTGCTATGTGTGTGAACATACGAGTACCTGATTAACTGTATGACTGACCACAACCTAAGCAAACATTACATTAATCAACAAGTACATTAACAAAGTTAAGACTTCTGCTGCTTAGTTATGCTGTGCGGTGCTATGCTGTGAAAGGTTAGGCCCAGTCAGTTAACGTTACCCAGTCCTGGAAACAAGCAAAGAGGTCCTTTCCAGTGTTGGTGTAAAGTCCTGTGAGTTGGGAGGTTTCCTGGTGGAGTAAAGTCCTGTCTGGCTGTGTTGCTTTGCAGTTATCTCCTTTGTTCTCTTCACAGAGTTAGCTGTTCCATGCTAACTCTGCTACGACTCCTGTTGCTTGGAAAGCCAGCTGGCCTTGTGTCGTAGCTGCTGATTCTGACGAGGATTTGGTTCACTCACAGTTAATCCGAAGCAGGTCGCTGCTATTGAGGAGAAGAGCGTTTGCAGGCTGCTGGTAGCAGGCTGGCGCGAGAGCTGGTTTCTCAGGTAGCAGGGCTGACCTGGGCTGTGGCCTTGTTGCTCTTTGAAGAGCTCAGAGGAGAGAGCTGGAGCTGTTCTCCAGAGCAAGCCGAGGGAGAAGAGAGCGAGAAGGGGGCCAGAGATCTGGTTTTGTTTGGTGACACCCTTGGGGGTCACATGTCACACGCTAACCCACACTGGCTGGCCAGTGGGGTCCGTGGGGGGAAGGGTCGTCCCCAGGTGTGAACGGTGAGGAACTGTGGAGTGTGAGTTCCTTTATCCAGTGGAGCAAAGAAACATTTGGTCTCTTGAATGATTGAGTCCCAACATACCTAAACATGTTTGTGGTCAGTCACATCATCACTAACCTGGATCACAGTCATATTGCCATGTAGACTTCAGTGGTTAATGGCTGGGTGTGAGTTTAGATACTATAAAATGATATGAGGTGAAAAAAACAGTGGTGAATTTGATAGAATATGTGTGAGTAGAATTCAGAGTGGACAGAACAGCTGTACTGGGAGTTGTGGTCTTGAACCCACTCTGCTGCTCTGCCCCTCCTGTCGTTTGTCTGCAGAGTGACAGCTGATCGGTGAACAACTATTTAAACAACTGATTTTAACTTGTAACTGAATAACTAACCTCTAACTTTTCTGAGCTTTTCAGACACAGCTTTTTGTTTTTTTAAATTTTGTTATTAAATGAGTCAGCGACAGTGCACTGCTGCCTCAGAGTATCAGCAAACAACATATGAAGTCATGTCAAAAATAGTTTGTTGGTTTGGAATGACAAGCAGCGTATGCTGGCTAATATTAGCTAAAGTTATCAAAGTTTACTCTCCATTTGGCTCCCCTTGATTTGGACTTGTGGACAGGGACGCATGCTGTTTGTTTATTTTAATGTTAATAAAAGTCTCATTGCACAGCATTTGCTGTTGAGCCTTGAATCTGCCCTCAACACATTTTGACAAAGTTTAGTCCAAACACAGAAAGTTCGACTTGCTCTGTCAGAATTATTCTTTCATTTTCTTGAGATGTGATATGATCCTCTTCAGGGATCTAGGCAGCAGTTTTAAAAGTCTTAAATATTCACTCAGACAGATTTCAATGTGGAGCACATTGAAGGCTCAAATTGAAGCTTTCTCCTGGCAAAGGTGCAGCGTGTCCTCAGGATGTGTGTCCCAAAAAGTATATTCATAAATTTAATCCAATAAAAGAGACATCAAATTACAGCTCAGTGGGGCTTTAGTAGGAATTAATTCAAAAGCCTGTTCACTAAATCAAAACGGATGCGAGTCTTAGGAAGTTTTTCATGACGTTGTAAGAAAATCTAACATTTTTCTTTCTGATGGTGGCTGGTTTGGCGCTGACACGTCCGTCACTACTCCTCAGTCCCTCTGTCCTGATCTGGGAAGGTAGCCAGATGTTGCTTGTTGACAGTAGCTTTGATGAGAACAGAGCAGACATGGGGAGAATAGAGATCTGTGAGCCAGCAGAATGTAAATGCTTTCCAGTCCAGTCATTCACAGTTGTCCAAATGTGGGCTGACGGATATAAATTTGCTACTGGTCACAAAACAAACTGAGATATTAAGACATGAAGTTTCTTTAAGGGATGTTGTGATAAAATAACAGAAATTTACTATCTAAAAACACATTTTTCTACAAACACAGTATGAGCTAACCCTGCCAACACATCACATCATCATCATCATGTGGTGGCTGTGTTATCTTGACACAGTTATACATAAACTTTGCATGAATAAAATTAGATATATAGAGAGAAACCTTCCCTGAAAATCTTGCTTTTGTTGACCTTTTGTGGCTTAACATCTAATTTTTCTTCCCAATCACAGTGGTGTTTTAAACTGATTTTCACTCATGTCAAAACAAAATGTTCACAGTTGGTAGTTTTTAGGATCCTCTGTTAGTCAGAAGAACTCAAGGTCCACTTACTGTTGACCAGTGAATGATGAGCTCTGGCAAAGACAGTGGGTACATGTTGAGTTAAGAGTACATCACCAGTTTGGCTATAACGCTATAATGTTGTCGTATTCATGATGGAAAGTTTCAAAATTGTCTTCAGCCCTAACCCACGCTGTCTCAGGTGACATCGCTTAAAGATATTTATCAGATTTTCCTGAGCTCCCTCTGGAGACACTGAAGGCTTTTATATTTTTTTTGGCTGGACCACAACAGCAGGGTCAGCTGTTTCCCAATTCTCTGTTGCTCTTCAAAATTAATTGGCGCAAACATTATGTCATCAGGGGGTGTTTACACAGTGTTTGCATCAGTTCCACAATAATTTTCAACTTCATCTTCAATATCAATGTTCATGTCCAACTCTGTGCAGATCAGATGCGTTTATTTCAACATACATAAAACATTATAATGATAAATCCCACATTCTTTTGAATAAAAGGCTGAATTACCAAAACCAAAATACAAGTTAAAGTTTGTGAGTTAATATTAATCCTTCATTCAAATCAACAGAACGATAAAATTTAAATCCAATATCAACAACACTGCATGAAACCATGGACATTGTTTTATACTTCTCACACTGAACAGTTCCTCCTCAGTCATCTTTCTAAACACAAAACATCTCTT